TCGCCTACATGACGTCCCCCTTACCACCTCTCATATGTTCGGAGTTGGTGCCTTGCTAGATGTCATCCATTGAAGTACAGAGCCATGGTGTCCCAAATCATGTGGGGCTTCGAAAAAGGGCTCCCTTTATGCGGGCCACTATGATAAAGATGAACACATTTTCTGAGAACAAAAGGGCACCCGATTTTTGGAAATGCTCATGTTCCTCCTCAAGCCCTAAGCATCCTAAAGCCCTGGTCCTACATCCACTGACTTTGCGGGAGGCTCCTGCTGTCAAGGCTCCAGGGGCCGCGCCCGAAACAGGACCCTCTTGCAATCTATCGTTGGACGAGTTCTCTCAAATGCTGGGTCTGTTATTGATTCTTGTTGGCTCACGAGGATCCCATCGTTTAGAGTGAACAAGGGCAGGCGCAAATTGAAGACACTCCTCATGCATGGGCTACGTTTCGCCATTTGGGCCATAGACGTGAAGCAAGGACATGCTGCGGGTAACCTTCAGCTGTGTCGAGTGTAATTGGTTTGAGGTTTAGGGTTGTAGAGTTGAAGGATTTACGGTCAATGGCGGAGGGAGCTGGGAAATCTTCAACAACGACTTTGCATCAGGAGCCAGTGCGCACAGCCAGCCGGATGTGGGTGGCGCCCTGAGCCTTTGACAGACTCTGACAATGGTGTCTTAATGTAAATGTCCTTTGGGGAAGTCTTTTCAGGATCCTGTAGGTATTGGGGAAGTTATGCTTCAAGAAGTCCATTTTGGGGAACAGAAGGTCAACTACCAATGGACTTGGCAGCAGTGCGGCCCTGAATCACAGAGCCCTCTGCCTGAATACAAAGACAGAAGTGTTCCGTAGACTGTTCCAAACCAGGGCTGTTGAAATCACATTGCACAGGGTGTGTGACAGTTAGAGGATTTGCGCAGCTGCAACGAAAATCAATACACGCTGCGCTGCTTTTGCTGCTGAGTACAGCCAGTGATCAGCTGCAATAATTCCTCGTCAAGACCATAGCACCTGCAGCCCTCCAGGACAGTGACTTGGATCCCTTGCAACGCAATTTTTGCAGGAAGAGTGCCTGAAATGATAGACCATCCCAAGTATGCAATAGAAGAAACTCACTCAGCAGTGCTGCATCTCCAGAATCTTAGGGCCCACGTCTCCAGGCCATATCTGGGTGCCCCATACCCCTTGATTGAGGATGTACTCATAAATCATATTAGGATCCCTCAAATGGTTTCCGGAATATTCCTTCATGAAATGGTATTGGGCTCTCTGGGTTCTTGCAATCACAGCACTGCAGCTGTGTGGCTTTATCTTGGTTGTTGCCAAGGCAACTACATCGTTGACCTTCGCAGAGCAAAGCCCACGGATAGGCCGGCTTGTGCTAGCTGAATTCGAAGCAATCTTGGGGACCTGTATCTTATATGGGGGTTTCCCAAAATTAGGGTACCATTTTGGGGGTCCCCATAATAGGGACTATAGTATTTTGGGGTCTATACTGGGGTACCCTTATCTTGGAAAACTTCCCTACATGGGTTAAAGCTCCCTTTGCTCCCTCTTTGTGGAAACTACTGTGCCATATCCATCGCTTGAGAGTTCAGCGACTCTTCACATCACCGGATCCTGAGTCGCATCAGTTGCTGAATGCCAGCTGTCAACGCCCCAACATACTATAGCAGTTTCCATTGTCTTTTCCATTACCCCAATATAACCCCAATATACAAAAAACATGGAATCTGAAGCAGGAGCCTCTAAGTCTTGCCCAGCTTCACGCTGCAGCTTGCATGTGCACAGGTTTGGCTTTGCCTGGGATGCTGGGCCCCCATCGTTGGAAGCCGTAGGTGAGAAAGACAGTTTAATCCGTGAAAGTGGCCCCAAGCCGCTTGCAGACTCCCGACATGTGATCGCAAGCTCCCCTGCAGGATGTTAAGTATTAGCAGTCCAGCAGGTGGCGAAGCCTAGGCGTAGCAAGCATGCAAGCCACTTACAGGCCAAAAAGCTGGAGAAAGAGAACATGCGAGTCATCAGCAAGGCAGCATGTTTTGGCAAAGAGGGGGTGGGTTAGAAAGAGGTCAATGTAGTTGTCTGGCATCCGGGGTCCACAAATCCAGTGAAGGGTTTAGCCATCCAGCCTAACGCCGACAACATCAACACGCCCCTATGTTAGAGGCGTGCCCTATGACCATCCACATGGTATTCAAGTTATCGCAATGTGGATGTGTAACCGCGTGCTATAGTTCTAAATGATGGTCTGCCGGCGAGCATGGTCTAGGTATGCTGCTTGCTGTGAGTATAGCCTGCACCAGGCCATGGTTTGGTAGGCCCTTTGGACAGCTTCCTTCGGGACTTCGAAAGGCGGCCGTCGAAGGACTAAGCAGAATTCCTGAAGTCACACCAGAAGGGATGAACCTTGAGAAGTACCAACAACAGAGGCTCGGAGAAGGCATACTTCAAATGTGCCGCCTCCTTTGCGGAGGATTCCCGAAAAGCCACCCGCAGTTGTGAGAAACTCCTACATATTGAAACCTGAGCACCAAGCCCTATGAACTTGCATCCGGAAATCAATTGAACCCTGTAGTCCTGAGTTCCCTTCCTTTCAACCCTAAACCCTAAACCCTAAACCACTACTTGACAATCATCCCCAGGCCTTAGACCCCAAACTGCCTCAAAATCCTGAAGCTCGGAGCTTTGAAAGGGACCTTTTCCAGCTTAACCCGTGTAGCTTGGTGTGGTAATATGGAAGAGTCTGATAGACATATTGGGATATATCAGGATACAATTCATCATCATCAGGTTCCCTACGCCCTCAATGACCGACTCCTAAAACTCTAAATTAAAGAAAGCACCTTGGGCCCCTAGTCTCGACCCCCTGACGCCTGAATACTTCAAACTTTGAACCCTGTAAGCCCTAAGACCCTAAACCCATGCAACACCAAAACTGTTAAACTCCAACTTCGCAGGTTCTCCCTGGGACACTTGCAGAGGCCTGGAATCGGACGGCTCCTCCAGGACGGCTGGGAGGGATTCAGGGTTTAGGGAGTTTCAGGCTTTTTTGGTCACCCTGATAAGGAAAGACAATTAAAGGGGTTTGAGGGTTTTTTTAGGGTTTGAGGGTTTAGGGTCCACGAACCCAACTAGTCTGGTTTCAGGAAATGCTATTCTAGGTATCAGGCACTATATTCTTATTACTATTACTATTAGCAGTACTATACTTGGGCACTTGGGGTTGGGGCTTCGTGCTTACGGTTCGGCAGCTGTTGTTTACTTGCATTAGTTGGTACAGGGTTCCGTGGTTTTGCCTGGACTGTGGGGGTCCTTCCCTCGCCAGATCCCCCTTGAAATTCCATAAATTAGGGTTACTTTTCGGGGGTTTCCAATAACAAGGAGTATAGTATGCGTGGTCTCTCGGAACGTACCACAAGTAGGAATCCTTTCTGAGACATGGAAACGGTCTGAGTCATAGCAATAGTAGCAACATCTTTCAGCAAGCCATACATGCGCATGTGGTAACAGCAACAACATAGCCATGCCAGCAGCAAAATCATAAAACGTCCAGAGATGACATTGGGGTGGACATTTTTTCGGGAATCCAGGGTTGTGATTACAACAGGCTTTTCTGCCTCACAGGCCTCCACGATGAAAATTCCCAGGTTGTTTTTCTACAAAGCAGTGACAAGGCAGCTCAAAATCCCTGTACATGATCTAGATGTCACAGTCACGCCTATGCTCTGTCCAGGGATCCTTGACACTACGGCAGCTGTACCCACAAGAGGGATATGGGAGTTTTTCAAGATCGCGCCATGGGAGTCTTAGAGAATTAGTCCCCATGAATAATCCCTTCCAAACCCCTGTAGCTTCTTATGGCAGGTTGCGATGTGAGACCCGGAGACCTTCTGGTGAAGGCGAATCTGCTATGAGCCTGCGTTAAGAAATCAAAACTATGGTCCCGCTTACTTGCCCCAAAAGACGTGAAACCACTCTCTGCATGCGAGGTAAGATTTCACTCCGGTTTTGGTGCGTGTATGTAGGATTCCTTTGGAATGTGGCGAGTGTATACGTCGCATGCCCGTTTTGGGAACATAGGGAACATGGATTGAATGCTTACCACATGTGGTAGCTTTCCAATTTGGACTCTACAGAGCCCGTAAGGAAGACCCTTCATAATGTTTAGGCTTTAGGGCTTAGGGGTTTAGGGTTTAGGCCCAACAGAACCCTGGGCAGGCAGTTATGGTCCAAGTTTGCAGACTCCATCTTAGAGTAGGAGCATGTGCAGCCTCCAGATCCTGAATTCCGTCCACTGGATGCCCGTGGTGGATAGCCGAAGATAGGTCATGGTTCCCTTGGAGAGAATAGAGGGCCGGCTTTGGTGTTTGGAGTTCAGGGCTTCAGGTTTGAGAGATGGATGAGCTGGATGTCGGTACACTTTGCGTTCTGTTGCCTTGATTGCTGAAGCAGCAAAGCATGTCACTTCAGGAGTGCTTGTGATTGTCCCAGCGTGTGGGAGCCTTGCTCCCGTTCTTGCAAGTGGCAGCCGAACATGCCGAAAGCGTCGGGAAGCATTCGATTCCCTACCCGACCCAAATCGCAGAATCCTCAACCCTGCAGGTGAACGGGAAGAAGGGCCGAATCGAACTCCTCACCGTGGAGCTGAGCAAGTCCGGCGCTTGCTATCGACCGCATGCTTTTGTGGAAGATAAGCAGCAGCATCATGATACTAGTGCTGGCATGAACAAGTACACTGCCGCTCACAGTTGAAGATCAGAGGAGCTGTAATCAAAATGCTAAGCGGTCTACAGGCCTGAACAGGGTTGCCAGCTAGGGATCCTGCACATGACGCTCCTCGTAGGCCGGGTCAGGGTAATGGTTGTAAGTGATCTCATCCGACTACACTTCCTCCCATAACCATGCTGCAAAAACCCAGCATACCAGTGAGAGGTGCAGATAGAGTGGTAAAGGACATTGAATGAGAGGAAACAGCTCGAAGACTCAGTTCCTCCTGCTTTCAAGGCTTCATGTCATCTGCGAGTTCCAACCGGAACAGCCTAGAAAATTTGGAGGACTGTTTGGATTAGTGGGGTGCGACAGATTCAACAACCTGACTGTCTACCGCTCGACCCCTCTTTGCCCGACATTTTATTAGCTGTAGAGGCTAAAGGCATGTGTAGCTGTTGGTCTCGCCACTTGTACATGTGCATTTTCCAAAGCTTGAGGGCTAGCTCATCAGCACAGTGCTCCACAGCAGGAGCGGAGGCAGCAAGCAGCCCCGCAAGCAGCCCTGCAGCACCTTGGCACAAAGTAGTGACGCTTAGCGGAGTTTACTGACGACATGCGTCGTGATTGTGCGGGGAGCTTTCCAAGCAAGCTGGCTTGCACCCAAAAAACCTTAAAGCCTAAAAGCTGACCTCTGTGCCCAAGTTCCCCTATCATCTGTCTAGCTTATCCAATCCGATTTGGCAGGTGGGTTATGTTAACTGAGTCTGTTTGGTTGCTGTCTGGATCTCATCCATGTTTGGTGAACTTAAGGACTTTAGGGTGGTGACTTAGTTAGCATGACAAGCAATCATGCTTTCGATGGTGGCTAAAACCCAAGCCCTAATCCCAGAATGCTTATCTACAAGCCCTCAACCACTCAAACCCCAATTCGAAATGAGGCTGCCTCCGCGGACCCCGAGGAGGCCCCGCGTTCCATCCCGGCACCCAAGAAACAATAGCAGCTGCGCAACTCTACTGGGTTTACGATCTAGGGTGTAGGGTTTGCGACACCTGTGCGTCTACATTGGAAAACTTTTGGCTTTCTTGTTTGGATGTTTTCTTTTCAGGGTACCTGCAGTCTGACCTTGAGGCCTCCCCGAGATTTGACACTGCCACGCATACACAACGCTTAAGGAATCTTGATCTCAGATGTCAGATACATGTATTCCGTATTCATGCATTATACTCCCTGTCCTCATGACATCCGGTTTCCCAGAATCAACGATCATACTTTGCCCGCTACTGGAACGCATCGTAGGCTGCAGCTGCTCCTGCGGCAGTGCTGCCTCCAGCAAAATCCCCACCTCCCCCGCAGCCGAAAGCATCGCCACCCAAAGCCACGGCGGCTGCTTCTTCACCTACGGCGCTGCCCAAAGCTGTGGCAGCTCCGGTCCCTGCAAGCATGGCTGCGCCAGGTGCATCTCTCCCTGTTGCCGTTACTGTGGCAAAGTCTGCAGTGTGCCCTCCTGCTGCGCTCAGCGCACCTCCCACTCCGCAGCCAGTTTTAGCTGCGGCCGATGCATCCCCCGCACCAGCGCCTGCACTTGCTGCAGTAAGCGCATCTCCTACACCAGAGCCCACCAGCCCTCCTGCAAGCTCGCCCGCACCGCCAGCACCTATGCCCCCGGCAGCAAGTGCATCTGCTGCACCTCTGCCTGCAAGCACACCTGCAGTGCCAGCGCCAGTTATAGCCGCGGTGAGCACATCCCCCACATCGCCTACAACGCCAACTCCATCACAACCTTCCGACCCCCCTGCAAAGGACGGCACCATGACAATTTTCAGACTGGCAGCTTGTGTTTTTTGAGTTCTGTGAGTTAACATGTTGTGGAATCGCACCATCGTTAACACACCATACCCAGCTGGGCAAAGCGGAAGTCGAGCTGTTGTGGCTGCGGCTTCCACCTCAAGTTTGGAGTGCCCCTGTTTTATCCTACAATCCTCCTCTCAACCGCAGACCACAGATTTTAATTACCTTACCCTGTACACCTCTGCAGGATCGTGCCGCCGCACCAGCGCCCACCATAGCCCCAGCTGCGGGCGGCGTAGCCAAGGATCTCACCCCTGCGTGCTTGCATTGCGCAGGGCGAGCTTTATGCGTGTTGCCCCGAATGGGTCCCCATTTGACCCTTCTTAGGTAATCCTCTGGAAATGGCTTGGCTAGCCCCTTTGTGGAATGATCGTCAGCATTTCACAGAGGGTCATTGTATGGAGGGGATGTGGCTCCAACGCCCATCCGTGACCCGGTTTTGTTGCTGCGCTGCGGACTCTCGTAGTTGTTCTCCAGTGCTTCAGCATAAGGATGGGCCCGGATTATTTTTGTAGAGAAGGCTTGCAGTTTTTACGAAACCTCATGAAGGGTGCTCAGGTCATTTGTATCATGATTGGGCTGTTGAGGGTTTAGGGTGATTGCCGAAATGACACTAGCTTACCGAGACATTTAGGCAACCGAATGCCTGTTCCGGTCGTTTATAATCAGGTATTGCCATGACCGTGAGGTGGCTGGAGTTCTCAACAGAGTGGCTGCAAGACTGATTTGATGGTTGTTTCCAACAAGTTTAGTTGCGTGCATCGGCGTTCAAGATGGGCCCGAGAAGGGAGACCTTGTTGGCGTTGCCAATTTGATTGGGGACATTCTAAAACCTAACATCTTCAATTCAAAAGCGCGGACACTCACGAAGCAAGAGCTGTGGCCGCGAAAACTTGGAAAACACGTGGAAGGTTTTGGACAAGGAGGTTGGGTCAAAGCAATATCTTTGCCAGCGTAAGAATTCTGAATGCAGATATTATGAAGAAGGGTCGTGAAAGGCTAGTATCTAAGGAAAATCAAAGATTGGGCACCCCAACCCAATCTAAAATTCCCATGGCCCTTCTTTCATCCTTATAATCCCTATAACCCTCATATAACCCCTATATAAACCCTTATAGCCCCCTTCCAAAGAAGCATCGCCGCCAAGCATGCAGCTCCTGCACCAGGACGTGGTGGCGCAGGCTCCTGCGTCTGGCCAGCCGCTCCCAGAGGAATTCAACTTTCATAGGGACTTGGGGGGGGGGGGTTGGTCCATATTCCAATAAGTCACCGTTTCGTGAGACCGCAAAAAAGAGCCGTAGGTCGCAGCGTTCAAAGATCAAGCACAGGGTCTCTGCAGGCATGCCTGTGTGGTGTTCAGCACGTTTTTTGCCCAGTCTGAAACCCCAAAATCCTCACCAACTTCCCCAAGAGCCACAAACCCAAAAGCTCGCACCCTCCCTGGGCAGGACTTGCCGCCTAAACCCGGAGAAGCCCCTTCACCGCCGCAGTTGCCGCCACAGCCACTGGAGGCCAAGGAATTCTGTCAAGGCTTAGGGTTTCTGAGGGATGATAGGGTTATATTGGGGTTATATAGGGATAATGGAAAATAAGATGGAGACTACAAGGATTATAGGGGTTACATAAGGGTTATATACTGTAGGGATGATAGGGTTATATTGGGGTTATATGGGGATAATGGAAAAGAAAATGGAAACTATTATAATGGAGAATCAAATAGAAAAGAACATGGAAAATGAAATGGAAACTGGACTATATGAGCTATATAGTCTAAACTCCTTAACGGGGGTTATATAGGGGACTATATAGGGAACTACTATAGGAGATAGTACGGGGGACACTAGGAATTTAGACTATAGCTCATATAACCCGGTTGTCATTTATTGTGTCCATTTTCTTTTCCATTTGATTCTCCATTATTGGGGTATTATTTGTATACTTGGATCCCTATGAAGTTAGTCTACAGAGGAAACCTTGCATCACCCCGTACCCCTTCGCCCCAATGCTCCAGAACCCACAGCATTTCAAGGTCATTAATTAGGTCTCCCCAACGGTTCAGATTTCAACCCTATTGTGAGCCTATACCCTAAACCCTGAACTGGAAATCCGAATCACTGAGAGGTGCCTCGCCCCTTGGAGAAAAAATCCGGACAAAAACAAAAATGAACTGCACCCCTAATCTGGAGAACTGATGTCCAAATCCTCCATCCTACTCATTCTCACCTGCTAACCCCGAAGCCACCGCTGATTGTCCCGAAGGCTATGGGTGCGCCCTCTGAAGCGGCACAAAGCGCTTCCAGCTGTCATTGACTCAGACAGGGACCTGACACGTACACCTCGTAGTGCACAGGGATGGGTTTAGAGCTCAGGGTTTGGTGGAAGGAATGAGTTCGTGACGTATACGTTGAAGGGGTGAGCGTTTGGGCTTGAATTCCATGGCTGCTAAGGCTGGATCTGACGGGGTTCCAGCGTCATGGACAATTATTTTGAGTGAGGCATGGGAACCTGAACTTTTTTGATTTGCAGCCTGAGGTGGGGCTTTCCAGGCACATGTAGCCGGTAACCCATTCAAATCCTCAAGCCCGCAATCCTGAAAACGACGTGAGGGGACATCTTCGGGCAACTCAGAGAGCCGTAGGGAGCTTGAGCCTAGGAGGTAGTCCTGCAATGCTATAGTCCCCCTTAAGTAGATAGAATATGGCTTTGGGTATATTATAATAAGATTCCCATATACCCCATATTCTATGTACTTAAGGGGGACTATATGTGTAAACGCCTGCCATACATCCCTTGGGTTCCTTCACGCCCCCGGCACCAAGTAAGGGCCAGTGGATCTCGAAGCATACCCTCCCCCAAACTAACATGGAACCTGAGCATGGGCCCTGCAAAGACCACGGTCCCTTGAGCCCAAGCCTGACTGCGGTGAAACGGTTTTTTTGGAGGGTGGGGGGTGCATGCCTTGACTGGCCACAGGTCAATCCTGTGGTGTAGACCTAGTGGAATCTAGTGGGACCCATACCTCACGGCTGCAATGAAACAGCTCTAAATGAATTGTTGTGTTTGCCAGGCTGCTTCCACAAAGGCTCACCAGAACCAGCATTTATTTTTCCAACCTCTGATTTTTGAGGAAAAAGCTCTGTGCTAGGTGTTGAGATTCTTGAAGAGGGCCCGGCCGAAACGCCAGCGGTTGCCTCAAATGCTGCTTCAGAGACACGATTCCAGCATTTGCGGGCGGTGTATGTATATGATTGCATGACGTGGCTACTTTCAGGCATGGGTTGAGATTTCAGGGCTGAGGAGGTCAACAATATATGGGGATCTACTCATCTACTCTCAAGGATCAGAGTCCAACATCCCAAGCCTGCTTCAGAGATAGAATTAAGTTGTACATTACGTCTGGACCTTGAAGCCATGTTCCTTTTCTTACCTTCCCTCTGGAACCACCCTACGAATGGAGCGTCCCTGATTCCAATGCAGCATGGCAAGCTGCATGCTAGAAGTTCCTCCTTCCAAAGCATGTGCCGAATCAACCCCATGCTACAAAGAGCAATTCAGCTGCCTAAAGCTGCCGGAACTAGCCCTTTTCAGGGCCCTGCCACTGAGCTTGCTATCAAAGCAAAGGAGATTTCTACAGCAACGGCGGGGTGCCTAAGGGTGCATTACACCAGACCCCCCAAAACCCTCCCGAAATCTTCAGAACTCAACCCCCAAACCCCTATATAACCTAGAATAAATCCCGGTTTCCATTTCATTGTCCATATTCTTTTCCATTTGATTCTCCATTATTGGGGTATTATCCTCAGAAAACCCCGTATAAGCCGCATAGAGTGCTTTAGGGCAGATCTGGGACTTTGACGCTGAATTGAGTGACTCGCCACCTCCCTGGGTCCAAGGAGCTCGATCATCCTGCAAACAGTGCCGTGGCAGAGCCTGCACCCGCGGCATGTTTTTTGGACAAATGCTGGCATGAACGGGGATAATGGAAAAGAAAATGGACACTACTTTGGTACATTGGGGTTATATTGGGACAGTGGAAAACAAATGGAAGGTACTATGTTATATAGGTATTCTAAATTTTGGATGCTCTGGTTCTCAAATATAGCGCAAGATTGTATCGTACTCTCCTGTGGGATATTATATTTGGCTAACAAGGAAGCAATCACCCCTGGCCAATTGCCAAAGACACCCGACTGGATTTACTTAGAAGTGTAAATGGTAATTTCCCAAAATAGAGGATCTCAATATAAACCCCAAAGTACTGTAGTCCTTATTATAGGGACCCCGAAACGATACCCATAATTATGGGAACCCCCCAAAGATCCTTTTGTTTTTGGGTAGCCGTGGTGCCGGGGAGACCTGGCTCGCGAGCAGCTTTGAAGTCTTCAAGCTACTTGGAGGGTCAGGGGGACTTAGTAAGTAGGCAGGTTAATATTGGGGATAACTAGGGTTATTATATGGGTTATAGGGGTCATTAACCTACTTACTGAGTCCCCCTGACCCTCCAAGCAGGGGCCCAAAAGCCCATGGCAGGCCACTGGGAGATATAAGATCCTACCTTGATCGTGTTTCAGACACTTCGAGGTTCAACCTTTACTTTGTTGTTTTGCATTCTACTTTGGCCTTGGGCCATCAAGACCCATGCTAGGTTATGAAGAATGCGTAGTGTGGATTCGTTTTGTCAGCAGAGGAACAAAGCTTTGACCCCTCTCTCTCTGTCTCTCTCTATTCCAGGAAAATGCGGTCGTTGGCATTCTTGTGCAGCTGTTTGTGTTTTCTCGATGCAAGAATATCATTTGGCCTGAACTCTCCACCGGCAGCCACATGCATATCTGCAGCCTGGGGGCGGCTTCATGAGAGCAATGCCTGAGTCGCCAGGTCAACGGCAAGGATACCCCGTCTGAATCGAAGGAGGGGCCCAGGCAATGCTTTGCACACAGATGGAGCATAGTCTGGGTTGCTGTTAAGGAACTTAAATTAAATTACTATATTGGGGAAACCCTATTATTTACTATATATACCCATTATGGTAACTTAAACCCTGAACCCTATATAACCCTATTATAGTAATTTCCATTTTCTTTTCCATTGTCCCTATATATACCCATTATGGTAACTTAATTGAAGTTCCTTAACGGCAACCCAGTAGTAGCAAGAAGAAGAGGAGCAGGAAATTTGCCTGACGTCTGCTACCCTCCAGAAGGATATGGGTGGTTGTCAAAATNNCATTTTGACAACCACCCATATCTGATTTTTCTGGTTTCGACGCATCCCACTTGGGGGCTCTTGTGGTTTGGGCTGACTGACATGGCGCGCATATTTCTACGAATCACACTACCATGGAGATTTGGGGGAAGAGGCTAGGGTGGGGGGGGCGCGGGGGCTGATTTGAGCAAGTCGTGTTTCTCATACACTCTCACACAATTCTACGAACAGCAGAAACGCAGAAACCACAAGGTTGGACCATCATGGACCATCAGTATCGTCCTACCAAGAGAGCTAAACATGGCACAGGACAAATGGTATTGTTCATGTTGCAGCTTGTTGGTCTTGTCTCTATGTTAAATACATGATATGTTCTACATATTCCCTCTATGTGTTCCTTTTTATACACGGCTATATTACCACACAACCCCAATTCATATATATATATATACACCC